TTACCAGGCCAGATATTGCATTTGCAGTCAATCAATGCTGTCAATTTATGCACAATCCTCTGGATATTCATGTAGTTGCAGTGAAACGGATTTTACGATATCTCAGTGGCACTCTTGACTTCGGTATTCATTTCAATTCTGGACCACTACATCTTCAAGCTTATAGTGATGCGGATTGGGCCGGGGATCCTAATGATCGACGGTCAACGTCTGGCTATTGTGTTTATCTTTGGTAACACTCCTATTTCTTGGGCTTCCAAGAAACAACACACGGTGTCGAGATCGTCTACTGAGGCCGAATACAGAGCACTTGCCATTACTGCTGCAGAGGTCTCTTGGATACGGAAGCTTCTATGTGACCTTCATGTTCCCTTTATATGATGCTCCTGTCTTGTTCTGTTGTGATAATATTTCAGCCATAGCATTGTCCTCTAATCCAGTCTTTCATTCCCGAGTAAAGCATATTGAGATAGACTACCATTTTTTGTCCGGGAGCGTGTTATCCGCGGTGATCTAGCTGTGCAACATGTCTCTTCCAAGGAGCAATTTGCTGACATTCTTACTAAAGGCTTGTCTATATCTTTGTTTCAAGATCATTGTTCCAATCTCATGCTTGGTTCTCATAAGCATGAGATTGAGGGGGGATGTAAAGGTATAAAAACACAGGATCAATCCAATGGCTGATGTGCTACCAGGTGTAAATAGATTAAGCTGATATGTCTGTTAAGTTTGTTATGAGCTAGCTTAGTCTGTAAGGAAAGTGAAGTGTATATATAGCAATAGTTTGTAATGATTCAGTGTGAAAGAAAACAATATATAACAGAAGAAGAATTCTCTCTCTCTCTCTCTCTCTCTCTCTCTCTCTCTCTCTCTTAGTGTGAAACCTCCATTGTTTAAGCTTAAAGCTTTTCTTCTTACAATAACCACAACTATTAAATCTTTTAAATTTAATTTAGTTATTCGTTTTTCGTATCATTATATGATGTGTTAATTGAAGAAAAATTGCAAAATGTGAAAGTAGTCCTACTTCGGGAACTTATATGTTTGTATTGAGTTATAATGAAAACGATGCCATGTTCCCTTGTTATTAACCGGAGAGGAGATTAGAACTTCAAACATCGTTTGAAAACGATACAAAAAAATTTCACCAAATTGAGTGCGAGTTGAATAAATTAAAAATAATTATAAATTACTGAATTACAAGTGGGTAAATAAATACCTTAAAAATGTGCTATATCGTTCGAAATATTTCTTTCATATTGATCATAGGAAGAGACAAATACTGATAAAAGAAAGGGAAATGAGAAACCTTCGCTGAACTTTTATTTGGATCCACACTGCCTATGTATTAATTTTCTTTCCTATTATTCTTTGGTCAATATTTTTTTTATTTTTGGAAAACCTTTCATAAGAAAGGAAACAAAGTTACAAACACAGATTACAACAAGAGGCCCACAAAAAAAGGAAGAGACATTTTTTTGCTTTTTAAAACTGTAATGTTTCGGTTTAATAATATATTAAGAAAAATGTTAAAAAATACAAGTTACATACCACAATATCATTCCTGTTGCGTTTTAGTTTTCTACACTTTTTTGCATTATTTACACAATTCTATTATATTTATTTTAAGCCCTCGTTTTTTGTTATTTAATTTTTACTCCTCCATTTCTTTTAACTTAAATATTTTTTATTCTTGGTGATAATTTTTTCATAAATAAAACGTTATTGGATTAAATTATTAGTTAACAGAGAGAAAAGAGAGATTAGTAGAGATTAAATCCGAAACAAAGTGTTCGTTAAAAAAAAAAAAAAAAAAACCCGACCAGAGTGCATAAACAAATTGTTTCCGTCATTCTTTCTTGAGAAGAAAGAAAAGAACATTATTATTATTTTTTTTTTGTGATGAGGTTCTATTCCATACAGCTGTAGTCCACCAGATAAATTACACCTCCAACAGAAATAAACAGCACACCATTAAAAAAAAATAAAAAAAATAAAAAAAAAACATAAAAAAAGAGAGAGAGAGAGAAAAGAGACTTGCACTGGCAAGGCTGAGCCTTTTACTTAAGAGTTGGGGACTTCACAAATCGGCCTTCTCCCTCTCTCTGCATCACCACCGACCCTCTGCGCATCGTCTTCACTGTTTCTTGAAGCTCTTTCAAATCCCTAGGTCGACCGGGTAATCTCTCCTTCCTGCGATCTTATTTACTTGAAATTCTCTGAATTTAGGTTTAATTTTTTTTGTGTTTTTCAAATTAGGGAGACGTTCTACTTTTAGGGTTTTTTTTTTCAATTTGTAATATTTGATGTTTGTATGCTGATTTCGGCTGGAAATTTAGGGTTTTTCCGCCTCCGACTTGCGTTTGTATCTGTGGGTAGTATGTGCTTACTCTATTTTTCATCCGATTTCGCTCGAATGTTGATGTGTTGCTGGATATATTACTATATTAATCATCAATCAATCTCCCTGGTTTTGTTTCAATTTCCTGTTCAGTTTGTTCGTCGGTGTTCGAGTTCAATTTTGTGTTTTTCCAATCGAATTTTGGTCCCTTTGGTACTTAAACCATAGCTGGGCCTTAAATCTGCGGGATGCTATTTCTTGTTAGTTATGAAGGTATATTGTAGATTGCCAAATTTTTACTAAAACCCAGTTTGTGATGTTGGCAAAGCGATGTATGAAATATGCTTTCGTTGTGCTAGATTTTGATTAGCATTGGTGCGACATGGTGACAGATATAAATATGCAGATGAACAAGAAACTAATCGGTTATAGACTAGCCATGTAGATCTTATTTGACTGAAGATTTCATAGGTTCTCGGAAGTCCAAATGGGTCGGCTAGATGAATTTGTGGTGCATGTATTTGGGGCTGACATGAATGGTTAAATGTTCTTGTAAAGTAAATTAGTTGCTTCTTTGAAGATGGCTAATAAATTTCGGTAAATACTTTGCAGAGAGAGAGGGTAGAATTTGTTATTTTTTATTCCTGCACATTAGAGAATTGATAATCATTTTCCGAAGTTAGTGCTGTGGAATTTGAGTTTAAGTAGCGTCGTTATTTGCGTGTTATATTATTAAAGAAATTTCACCCAGCACGTCAGAGTTCTTAAGAGACTTGCAACCCCTTGGAACCCTTACCGATCTCTTTTATTTTGATATTCATTGGCTGATGTAATTTGCTACAGGAATTTAGTAATTTGGTCTGTTCTGTTTCTGCAGGACTTGGATAGTTCAAAGCATTGACAATGTCTTCGTCATATCTCCCAGCAACTACTGATTCGATTGCTCAGGCTTCAGAGGCCAAAACTCCATCTGAATCCATCTCTATTCTTTATCGCATTCTTGAAAACCCATCAGCATCTTCTGAAGCTATACGGATAAAGGAGCAGGCTATCACAAATCTTTCGGATCTTCTTAGACAAGAACATAGGGCAGAAGATCTCCGTAACCTTCTCACCCAGTTGAGGCCTTTCTTTAACTTGATTCCCAAGGCGAAAACTGCAAAAATTGTCCGCATTATTATTGATGCAGTAGCTAAGATACCAAACACGTCTGAACTTCAGATTTCCCTTTGCAAAGAAATGGTGCAGTGGACCCGTGCTGAGAAGCGAACTTTCCTTCGACAGCGAGTGGAGGCCAGGCTTGCATCTCTTTTGATGGAAAGCAAGGAGTACTCGGAAGCACTAACTCTCCTATCAGACTTGATCAAGGAAGTGAGAAGGCTAGATGACAAGCTTCTCCTTGTGGACATAGATTTGTTGGAGAGTAAACTTCACTTTTCTTTGAGAAATCTCCCTAAAGCCAAGGCTTCGCTCACAGCTGCAAGAACAGCAGCCAATTCCATATATGTGCCTCCAGCTCAGCAGGGAACTATTGATTTGCAGAGTGGGATCCTTCACGCAGAAGAGAAGGACTACAAGACTGCTTACAGTTATTTCTTTGAAGCATTTGAAGCTTTCAATGCTCTTGAAGATCCTCGTGCTGTATTTAGCCTCAAGTACATGTTGCTGTGCAAAATTATGGTGAGCCAGGCTGATGATGTGGCAGGTATAATTTCATCAAAAGCAGGCCTGCAGTACGTGGGACCTGAGCTGGATGCTATGAAAGCGGTTGCTGATGCTCACTCGAAGCGTTCTTTGAAGCTTTTTGAGACTGCTCTTGGTGATTTCAAGGCCCAATTAGAGGAAGACCCTATTGTCCACAGGCACCTCTCCTCCCTGTATGACACACTGTTGGAACAGAATCTCTGCAGGTTGATCGAGCCTTTCTCAAGGGTGGAGATTGCTCACATTGCAGAACTGATTGAACTGCCAATCGATCACGTGGAAAAGAAACTGTCTCAAATGATCCTGGACAAGAAGTTTGCAGGGACATTAGATCAGGGTGCTGGAAGCCTCATCATTTTCGACGATCCCAAGACAGATGCAATCTACCCTGCAACGTTGGAGACCATATCTAATATCGGCAAGGTCGTGGACAGCCTCTACGTGAGGTCTGCGAAGATAATGGCTTGAGGTTGTACGGTCAAGGAGGCTGTTTCCTGCCCGTTGCTTTGTTTCTTTATTTCTTTTCGTTATATTCGGAGTCAGTAATCCTCTGTTATTATGGTTTTAGACTAAATTACTTTTGAGTTAGGCTCTACCATTCGGAGAATTTTCATTTTACACAAAAGGAACTTGTATTGAGCCTTCTCAGGTTGTTTGGTACTTACTGTTAGAGGTTAACTTTGTTCGAGATATTTGCCATTTTACTGTGGTTTGTGTTGATTAATCCCCTTATTCCCATTCCCTTTCAATGCCGATTGCGGTAAATGACGAAATACAATCATGCCTATGCTTCTGTATCGGATTTGATTTCACCGATCCTCCTCGCTCCTAAATGGTTGATCATATCAACTAACAAGAAAATTAGCAGGGAAAAAAGAAACAAAATGATCGAAACGCAGCGTCGCAAGGGGCAAAAATGGCATAAAGACGGAGTAACTTAAGATCTACCGGAACGTCTTAAGTAACTGTCAACGAATAGAGAGAGAGAGAGAGAGAGAGAGAGAGAGAGAGGTGGACGCCTGTTCATTTTTCACCGAACCTCTCGAAGTCGAATCTGGATTTCCGTAAAGACCAAAATCTGAAAATCGACGTTGAAGCCCCAATCCTCCGTCTCGGAACCCTCAGATCGTTGCCTTGCCGATTCCCATATTCCCAATTGAATTACTAGATTTCTGCGCCGCGCAGTAAAATTAGCAATCAAGATGAGTGAGGTGTTCGAAGGCTACGAGCGTCAGTACTGCGAGCTCTCCGCAAACCTCTCGCGAAAATCCAACTCCGCCGCTCTTCTTTCCGACTATGGTACTATTCTATTATTCTGCCGATTTAATGACATGGGTTTGTGAGATTAGCTCCTAATCTTCTTAATTATGTGTTTTTTTTAATCAATTAGTAATTCAAGAACATTAATTCAGGGATTTATTTTGGGGGCTTTTATTGGGGTTTTTTTTAGTTCGAGCGTTTGTTGGATTTCTTTGTGCAATTCAGGTCCTTTAATGCGTTTTTCTACGATTTGGGTTCGTTCTGATCGTTTTATGAAATGGGTTGTTTTGGGTCAATGTGAATTGCAGAGCAGAAGAAGCAGAAGTTTTCTGAAATTAAAGTTGGATTGGATGATGCCGAAGCTTTGGTAATATGCTGCACAATAAACGCATATTTTCACTTGTTTTTGCTTTTGCTGGAAAGCTTCTGGTTTTGTATACTTTCCTTGTTTGTTTATGTGAACGAGTGATGTGATTTGTTTTCTCAGATTCGGAAAATGGACCTCGAAGCCAGAAGCTTGCAGCCAAGCGTGAAGGCGGTGCTTCTTGCCAAGCTAAGGGAATATAAATCTGATCTCAATAAGTTGAAAAGGGAAATCAAGAGAGTTGCATCGCCTGATGCCACTCAGGCTGCTCGCGATGAACTGCTGGAGGCAGGAGTGGCTGATACACATGCGGTAAGCGTGGACTCTGTATGGATCATTCCACTTTCATTGTACCCTTCGTTGATTGAGAAGTTTTTACCAAAGCATGGAATTTCGCTAGAAGATTTTTATGAGATTATGCTTGACAATCTGCAATCAAAATCTGAATTCCCAACTATCTACGGTGCCCTTCTTGCATACTTTTCCTCTTGATTTATGACAATGGTAACAACCAGGCCGTTTTCTTTTATTCTCAATGTACTATTTACAGGATAGATATATAATATTTATCGTTGATTGCTTTTTCTTCGGCACAATACAATAAATATTCTTGGTGGTTTATGGACAATGAAACAGGTTTCTTCTGATCAAAGAGAGAGAATGACAATGTCTGTTGAGAGATTAAATGAATCAAGTGATAGAATCACACAGAGTAGAAGAACAATATTGGAAACAGAAGAGCTTGGTGTCTCCATTCTCCAAGATTTGCACCAACAGCGGGAAACTCTCCTGCATTCCCATCAAAAAGTATGTTAACTTTTTAATCTTGTTTCTGCTTAACTTAAGGTTCATTGTCACTTAGACTTCCTTTTGGCATCCCCTGATATCGAATTCATGGAGTTTCTCTTTAGATGTCGTTCGCATATTTGAAAACCAGACTCATTCCTAAACTTTATTGTTGAGGAACCAAAGACCTTACCCATGAAGTGGAGCTCATAACTCCAGTGGTAGTGTGCCAAAAACCCAAGATATAATGTGGGCGTCTCGCCCTATATCATCCCAGGCCACAGTCCTTTCCGATATAGAATATGAACAAGGCAGCTGCACTAACGAATTGCTAATCTGTGTTTTTTTATTTCTTCCCCTTTTCTTTTGCAGCTTCATACCGTAGATGACGCCATTGACAAGAGTAAAAGAGTTTTAACTGCCATGTCACGGAGGATGACGAAGCATAAATGGATCATGGGCTCAGTTATCGGAGCTCTTATCGTTGCAATCCTCCTTATTCTATACTTTAAGGTTTCTCATTAACGGATACCTGATACGGATACCATCTGTGTGGTACAGGTAACTATATATCTCTATATGCTTTGTTGCCCAGAGAGTTATGAATCGCATTCTTGTCATAATTCTCGTATTCTAATTCTATATTTCTGCACACTTTAGTGGAATGTTTAGGGCTCAACCACTCGATTAATGAAGAAAAATTGTCATTCCGCTAATTTTCTCCTCTAAGTGATTAAATTTAGTCATAGTGATTAGAAATTTACAGCAAATTGGGGCATCGGATACGTGTGCGGGATGGTTCCAAGATGTTCCGCCGTACAATTGTGGTGCTGCCCTTATCCCTACGGGGAAGTTGACGGCCGGCCAGCCCAGCCCTTATGGGAGATTTCCCGGAACTCTGGCCGGAGTATGATTGTGTCAAGAACAAGTAGGATCATGTACTTATCAACTCATCACCCGAAAAAAAAAACACCTGGATTAGTTTCGAACTTGACATTACCAAACAACATTGCCAGTTCTGCACGCATGGCGATCACCTGCTTCTTCGCTCACCAGCGGAATAAACGCACGGAGTTGTTTTAAACTTTTAATTATGTTCAGAGGTGCTTAATCTGGGCTATTTGAATATTAAAAAACGACCGTGATTTTCGTTTAGGTACGTAGTTGCATACTTCCATGGTCAACTCAAATAAATATTGTTTAGTCAATTAACTGTAATAAATAGATAATCGATTTGTATCATCTCGTAAATTAAACATTGTTGATTGGTTTAATGTGCTTATTTCTTATTAGTAACACATCGACTATAAATTTAATCTACTGAATATTATTTAGTTTATAATCACGAAGATCTGTAAATTGGGCGTGAGTAAGGATGGTAGCAAAGTAGTATTCCGGGTGCAAATATAGTCTTGTTTCATGCAAGGACCCAATTCTTGTGGACCCACCACCAGCACGGATTCATTCAGATTCACAACCCAAACCTTTCTTCCTTCCTTTTCTTGTCCCACCTTCTAACTTCTTCTAAGCTCCGCCTACCACCCACCGAACCGTAATTGCAATTTTGCACCCATTTTTATTTTCAATTAATTCACAGCTTAACACAAGCATCCATGGATTCCCTCTCATCGGTAAAAGTGTCGCCCTCCGTAGTCACCAACCCTCTCTCTCCACGGCGCTGCCGGATGCTTCTCTTTTCGTCTTCGCTCGGCAGCTTACACAATCGAAGTCTCGGTCGATTATCCTCCTCCTCCTCCTCCTCCTCCTCTGTATTCGGTGTACCGTGCCCTCCCTATTCTAGAAGGAGGCTCGTGTGCTGGTCCGGCGGTGGCGGTGGCGGTGGAGCTGCGCAGGAGGAGGACGACGACGGAGATGACGACGGAAGTGAGCAGGTGGAGAGAGCGCTTCACCTCGATGGTAATATCCCCTCTTCCTCCGACGAGTTCGTGAAACGCGTGTCGTCTCGTGCTTACGACATGCGCCACCACCTCCAGCAGACCTTCGATTCCAGCAGCTACGATGGTACGAATGCAGTTCAAAGCTGCTCCTGCTTTTATTTAGTCGTTTGAGAATTGAGATTTTTGTTAGTATCTGTTCTTTCAACGAGTGATTGATAAATTAATTAACAATTAATGGCAATTTATTTTGTTTTTGTCATTTCGCTTGAAATTCATAATTCAATTTGCTTGAATTAATGTCAAATATGTAGAAACCTTACTGGATTCACACATGACATGAGCTATACTTTCTTATTTCCAAATGTATTCACATGTGCAGTGGCTTGTAGCCCGGTTTTAAGAGCATTCGCACATGCACCCGAGGTCTCGTATTTGATTGCCCTCTCCGTAGTTTAGTATAGATTATCCTATCATTTGTCAACTATTGAGTACACGTGCAAATGAAAGAGTTGCAAAAACTCACGTGCATGGTTGGCTTTGGGATAATATCGTAGTGCATAATTGGCTTAGGATACTGCCATTGTAGCACCCCGAGTGTTATGGTGCATTTTTCTCACCATCACATTAATTGCCTGTCGGATGAATGTGATTTAATCTCTCCGTACACAAATCTTGGTTCAGTATTGGAGGCCAACCCTTGGAGAGGAAGTTCCAAGCCTGTGTATGTATTAACGCAAAGGGAAAACCAGTTGTGCACCATGAAAACCCGAAGAAATCGCAGGTCTCCTTCCTCAGCTCTCTCTCCTGTGTGTGTCTGTGTTCCTTTTCTCTTCAGTAGGCTTTAATTCTTGTTATTCGTGGCCTCAATAAGTCACTCGGTGCGGTGAACTGTTTGTGGTTTATATGTGACAGTGAAGTTGAAACGGAGCTTGGGAAATTGTTTTCGAAAGGAGGGAAATGGAACCCAGCGAAACAGCCTAGGAACGAGACAAAGTTCCAGATGCTTGTGGAGGATATTAGGGATGGAGTGCTCGTAAGTATTTTCCTCTCTTGTTCTTGCCAATTGAGTTAATGCTTTGAATTGTTGGTGTCAGCGTGAAGTTTTCATTTCGTAGGGATTCATAAATCTCGTCTTACTGTATCTACGGTTGCATATGTTTCGCAAATTCCAATGGCATTTGTAGGTTTTCGAGGATGAGAACGAAGCTGTAAGGTACTGTGACTTGTTGCAAGGAGGAGGTAAAGGTTGTGAAGGTGTTGCAGAAATAGAGGCCTCATCGGTAAGAAATATAGAGCCGTCTTTAAATTTGGCTTCTTTAGCATCGCAAAAATTGTAATTCAACGACGATGGATGCAGTTTTTACTGAAGTGTAACAACAATTGTGTGGTTGTGTTATAAATTTAGGTATTCGACGTCTGCCAGCAAATGCGAGCTTTTGCAGTTCTATTCCGTCGCGGAATAAGCCCTCCTCTGCCTCAAAGCCTGGAGCTCAACCTTCGGGCTCGAAAGCGCTCGCTTGAAGACGAACAAAACCCATAAAGACTACTCGATTCCTTCTTGAAACTGTATATTTGTATAAGAAATCATTCTTCTATACGGCTCCTATACATACCCTGGATCTATAAAGTGTAATATATGTATATCCATTGCCATTTTTGGGGGTTTTCAACTCTCGCTGTCTCGATAGCGTTTCACATATTGAATTTTTGTATGTGCCGGTTATATGTAACTTCATGGACGGAGCCAATGAAGGTTCACTGGGGTCATATGCCCTCACTCAACTAATTTGTTTGTTTAGTTGCAGACTACTACAATTATATAATATACACGGGTTATCTTTGAAGAAAATATATGTATCTAATATCCAACATACATTCATTCTACTTGTACTCCATATCAAATATTATATGAGTAATAGTGCTCTTGTTCTGTCATTCAAACCAAAAAAACCTTCTCCTGCCTATCATGTAGTTATATTTTTCTCATCACTTTGCTACTTTCCACTACTATATTGAAATTTTAGAATTGTGATACATCATCATTTGAAACCATTTTTAATATCATATTGCATATAATCATACTATAATAAGGTTTTCTTAGTTGTTTTCGGTTGTCCCCGCCAGAAGAAATTTCTGACTCTGTTCCTGTATAAATTAGGATATCATAATATGCATGTATAGCATGTGGATACAATGATTTTTTCTAATTTTGATGGCGGCTGCCGTAAGGTCCAAGTTCAAAATTGAGATGCATTTGCCTAAGAAAATCCCCGTGTGCAAACAAGTCTCCCCAAGTTCCAAAAGTTTTCAATGTGAGCGCGATTGTTACACTATCATATAACGAATTCACACATAAGTCTATTTTTTTAAACTATACCCTAACTCCATGAAATATTAACTATGCCGCCGCCAAATTATGCCGTCTATTAATTTGGTGGCGGTGTTCATTGAATGAAATGAATACAATCCCAAATTGGCAAACATTAGCATTAACATCATTGAGTAATGCTTAATTATTCTAGGATTAACAGGAACTCGTTCTTAAAATTCTTCGTGTCTTATTCACAAATCTTTGTGCTTATAATCAGAATTATAATATTATAAATCGCTTTTTAAAGATCATTTTTATAAAAATAAATTAAAACTAAGGTCGTTAAGTCAATCAACTATAGAAAATAGAAAGACGGTTCGTAACTTTTTTTTTATCATTTTCTTTCATTTGTTCTGATACAATTCGATGACTGAACAATCTTAATTTTAATTGATTTTTTACAAACATAATATTTATAGAATAATTTATAATATAAATTATTCAGATCATAAACACAAACGTCTATGTACCAGTAACGAACGGTATTGAGATTCAACTTGAATCACATGGGGGCACACCAACGCAACGGCAAAAGTTACGACAAAGTGGGAAAGGAATGCGATTCCGTTGAATAGTACGCCATAAAGCCAAAGTCAATTTGTTTTTTTTTTATCTACTTGCTTGTTTAGATCTCAATAAAATAAAAAGGATGACACAAAAACGCATTAGCGCACACCAAGTAGTACCATATTGTCAAAGCTACAGCGTTTACATTGGTGGAAGAAACTCCGATCACTGATGAGCTCCGACGCTTCCGACTCGTCCGGCGGGGGTAGTGCTTCGACGGCCGACAAGGACAAGCAGAAGGAGAAGGAGAAGGCCCGAGCCAGCACCTCCCTCATACTCTGGCACGCCCACAACAACGACGGCGTCGCCGTCCGCAAGCTCCTCGAGGAGGATAGCTCCCTCGTCCACGTCCACGACTACGACAACCGCACTCCGCTCCACGCCGCCTCGCTCCACGGCTGTATCGACGTCGCCAACTGCCTTATTGAGCATGGCGCCGATGTCAACGCCCAAGATCGCTGGAAGAACACCGTACTTATTCCCAATCTTCTGTTAGTTATTCAATTTCTTAAATAAGTAATTAAACGCAATGCCTTTTGTGTGTAATTTCGATTACACGTGCTAATCAGGTCTTAATTTTGTTAATGTTGATGGCAGCCTCTGGCTGATGCAGAAGGAGCTAAGAAGCAGGCGATGATTGAGCTTCTGAAATCGAACGGTGGCTTGTCTTATGTAAGTCCAAACTCCATAGCCATCATTCATTTCATGGAGTGAAGTTCTTTCGATTTTGTTTCGTTTGATTGGCTCTGAAGCTCTGTTTTCGAGTGTTTCTGGTGCTGCAGGGCCACAATGGGAGCCATTTCGGACCGAAGCCCGTGCCGCCCCCTCTTCCCAGCAAGCGTGATTGGGAGATTGAACCGTCCGAGCTCGACTTCACCAACTCACTTACCATTGGGAAGGTCTGAATTTCTTATCATTTACGAGTTTTAGAATGGCCAATTCTTGCAATGTATGTTCAAAGAATATCGTTCTGGTTAAGTTCTCGGTTTTGCTTTGTAATTCACTGCTATGTAAATCTTGTTGCCTGGATTTGCACATCTGTGATTTTTAAGATTTTCCGTTGTTTTAATTAGTTCATAATGTTATATCGAGTCGTTATGCTGTATATTTACCCCCAACCCACTATAATCTGTAGTTACTGCTCAATATTCGCAGGCTATGAATAGTAGGTTCCTTTGAGCTAAGATTTCCCCCAAGGTTGAACTCTATTTTCACGAATGTAGTTACTTGCTCTTTTGTGCCGATGATCTTTTGGATTTCTCTTTTGTTTTTCAAGTTGAAGTAGTTGTGGTCTGCTCTTGGTTTTGTTGTCACCGCGCTAGATCTTTCTGTATTTCTATAATCTTTTGCATTCCGCAAGATATGGCCTCACCTTGGAGGGTGTTGCTTTTAGGGATCGTTTGGTGAGGTTTTAAAAGTGCATTGGCGTGGAACTGAAGTAGCTGTCAAGCGAATTCGTCCATCTCTTTCCAGTGATAGAATGGTGATGTAAGTTCCATCTAAATTTTTAACTGCGAGAGAAAAAAATAGTTGCAACTTAGTTGCTGTGGAACAATTTATGCATATATCAAGTTTTTCAGGAGCCCGGGAGGTGACCTTAAAGCTATGCTTAATATTGAAATCACAATCAGCATATTTTCTTTACCCACAGTTCCGTTATATTAAAAGGTTGTAGATTTCTGACTTGCTCTTTGCTTTCCTGAGACAGCCAAGACTTCCGGCATGAAGTTGATTTGCTAGTGAAGTTTCATCACCCTAATATAGTCCAATTTCTTGGAGCTGTCACTGAGAAGAAGCCCCTTATGTTAATAACGGAGTATTTAAGAGGGGTATACTTCTTGACAGTAGTTTTTAAGATGTGTTGTGCAAAGACGCTGCTTCTTACTTAATGTATTGTGTTATGTTTTAGGGTGATCTTCATCAGTACCTCAAGGAAAGGGGTGCACTTAGTCCTACAACAGCAATTAACTTTGCTTTGGATATTGCCAGGTACTTCAATAAAACTTCAATCAACTTATTGCCTTAGTTTAAGCAACCCTTTTGGAGGTGAAAGAGGTTTCTAATGTTCCTAAATTTCAACATGGCCAGAGGCATGGCGTATCTTCACAACGAGCCAAATGTTATAGTTCACCGAGACCTAAAACCAAGGTGATTTTATATGCTAGAATGTCTTTAACTAATACAATGCCCTAGATGATGCATCTGCACAGGATGAAAGAAACTATGGATTTGTACAATTTTACGAGTTTCCATTTCTATTTCTTTAGTCTGTTTCCATCACCGGGAAAATGTGCCTTGCTCGCAATATTTCCTATTTGTGCTTCTGAATTTTGTTTGTTTATTTCAGAAATGTTCTCTTAGTAAATTCCAGTGCCGACCATTTAAAAATCACAGATTTTGGATTAAGCAAGCTCGTCAAGGTTCAGAATTCTCACGATGTATACAAGATGACTGGCGAAACTGGAACCTGTGAGTGTCTTCTGAAAAGTTTAACATTGAGTCGAAGTTACTACTGAATAAAGTTTAATTATTGTCATAAAACTTGTTCTTTGTGTTTTGCATCGGAACAAACAAAAGACCGCTATATGGCCCCCGAAGTTTTTAAGCACAAGAGATATGATAAGAAGGTTGACGTGTTCTCTTTCGCAATGATATTGTACGAGGTAATGTTGGTTTCTGCTAGATATCAAATTCAGATTCACCCTTGAAGGAAAAGATATCAAATTGTTCAATTCCAGTCCTGATTTATAACACTCTGAACGGATGCAGATGCTTGAAGGGAACCAACCACTTTCGGATTACGAGGCTTATGAAGCAGCCAAATATGTGGCGGAAGGACGCAGGCCTTCGTTTCATGGAAAAGGGCACACCCCTGAACTGAAAGAGTAAGTCAGTTCTGTAATTTTTCCGTCAAACAAAATGTTCGCTTCATTCGTGCTCTTCCACCATCGCTCATCTATGAGATAAATTC